AAGAGCTGAGGGACAGCGCCCAGGCCCAGAGTTCAAGCCCCATGACGAAGAAAAAAAAAAGTCCAACAGCCTTCACCCCTTTCTACCACCCTTATGGGAGCTATCAATGAATGCACGGATCTTAAAGAAGTTAAGCTGCTACCAATGTGGATGTAATGGTCAACTGGAAAATGCATTTGAAACCCATGTTTATAGCAGATTTCTTTATAGCCTCTGAAAGAATTAGAAAGGAAGCCCATGCTACATGGTGGAGTGAAGAAAGCAATAAAGAAAGCAAAATGTGGGTGGCTTAGGAAGCTGGATGCTCTCTTCATACAAAGAAGGAAAGGAGGAGGATTCCTTTTACACTGCCAGTGCTCAAATAAAAGAACAGATTAGTACTGAACAGAAAGTAGGACATTAACCAGAACACTGTTAGGCAGGAGCTAGTATTGTCACCTCCCAGGTAAAACAAATACTGTGGGATTAGCAGATGGGAAGTGCCAAGCATTAACCTTTTAGAGAACATAGAAATCTATGTTTTTATATTGTCACAGCATACATCCAAAGACATTGTTTAAAATTATGAAAGAAAGGGAAATAGTAGCAGATTTCTACAGGACAAGTAGTAATAGAGTAGAATAATAAGTCTTCCTGCATTCTAATAATTAATGTAAGAGAACAAATAGAACTATGTCCAATCAACAGAAGGGATTCAACGTTAGGAATCAAACATTAAGCAATGTCATTACAAGTACAATTAAAGCTGAAGACAAGCTGCCTAACCAACTGAAAACCTGCCATCACTGGAGAGAATTTGAGACTCCATCAAAGAACACCAGAAGAGGCTGATCTGAGCATAAACTGGTCAGAACTTTGAGGATTAGTGGGCTGGATGCCTAAGAAGATCCTGTAGTTGTTGCTGACGTGCAACATTCACCTAAGGCTACTATCCCAAACTAAGCCTCTCCTCTCAGAAATTTAAAGAATGAGTGTCAGTACCTGGAGCCATGCTTCACGTGTAAAATACCAGGGCTTCTAAGAATATGGACCAAGGGCAGGGATCCATGCTAGAGCACTTGTCTACATGCCCAAGCCCTGTGGCCATCTCCAGTACCATAGGAACAACAAAACAAAATTATGATTGAAATAAAAGATGGAAATTATAATACATTGCCATCTGTGTAGTAATTTTTATTACCTATTTTGTTGTTGTAGGTCCTAGGGCTTGCACTCAGGGCCTGGAGACTGTCCCTCAAGTGTTTTGCTCAAGGCTAGCACTCTACCACTTTGAGCCACAGCTCCAGTTTTCTGGTGGTTCATTGGAGATAAGTCTCATTGACTTTCCTGCCTGGGCTGGCTTTGAACTGCAATCCTTAGATCTTAGCTTCCTGAGCAGCTAAGATTACAAGTGTGAGCCATCAGCACCCAGCTTATTTAGTACTTTTTTAAAATTATAATAATTAGAAATAGGATCAATTAAAAATTACGTTGTTATTTTCCTTTGACATGGTAATTGGTCTATTGTATCCTATCTCATCAAAAGCTGTCAATCTAGCCAGGTATACATGGCTCATACCTATAGTCCTATTAGAAACCTGAGATCTCAGGATCACAGTTCAAAGCCAGCCCCAGCAGGAAAGTCCTCTTATCTTCAGATAACCAGCAAAAAGGCAGAAGTGGAGATGTAGCTTAAGTGGTAGAGTGACAGCCTGATCTAAAAAGCTAAGGAAAAGTACCCAGGCTGTGGGTTTAAGCCCCAGCACTGGTAAACACACACACACACACACACACACACACACACACAACTCAATCTATTAGAATGGATAAATGAACACCAAAAAAAAACTGTTCAGACTAAACAAAAGTCTCTCTTTAGTGATTCTTTCTATAAAATGAAAACAGCAGGCTATAAAAGGTCATGATCCCACTGATAAGAAATTGTCCAAGCACAAAAAGGAACTGCTCGATTGTATTATCTAATGTTAATAGTGTAAATATCTAGGTAGATAATTTTACTTTCAATTGCATAGCTTTTGCATAATTGTTCTCAAAACAAAACTATAAAGCTTAGGACCCAGATTTCAGGATTCAGATTTCACCTTTATGCTTTATTAGTCTTGAACCAGCTTCATAATCTCTATATGCCCTCATGACTTCATGTGTAAATAGATAGAGACTGTACCTCACCATGCTTGTCTGTGTGTGTGGGGGGGTCTCTGTCTTTGCCTGTGTGTGTGTGTGGGGGGGGGGGGCAGTACTGAGGCTTGAACTAAGGGCGTTGCATTCTTGCTTAGCTTTTTCACTAAAAGCTGGCACTCTACCACTTGAGCCATACCTCTAACTTCTCTCAAATTTGACTAGACTGGCTTTGAACCACAATCCCTCAGACTCAGCATTCTGAGGAGCTAGAATACAAGTGTGAGCCACAGTGCTTTTGAGAGGGCTAAATGCATGTACATACATGAGGCACTCAAACAGTGTACAGAACAGAAAGTATCAGCTGGTGGTAGGCACGGTAGTGCTACTAATAATACCAAACCAGGTATTTGTAAAATTGACTGCTCAGCAAAAGCAATTGCTCATGGCCAAAGTAAGAAAGGGAATGAGAAAGCCTTTCCATTTAGGTTTGCAAAATAATTGAGAAATAAACCAAAATATTTCGCAGATCAGCTATAAAGAACATGAACTGAGAGCACAACAGACATTCCCCTTGACTTGGTCACCTCATTTGGGGAGTCAATGGGTACAGGTGACTAGTAAGTTGAAGAGGAGCCCCAAGTGGTTATTTCACATGTGTAAATCCCTCTCTCTTTCTCTCTCAATTTAGCAGCAAAAAGAGAAGATGTTAAAGATCCATCCTATTTCTTAAAGACTCTTTAAAATGCCTTAACCTACAAAGGCTGGAAGTTTAGTTTTAAAAAAGGGAGGGAGGTATATAAAAGAAAAATTGTATAGACTAACACTTGATTTAAAAATATCAGATAATGAAAATTATGGATTATCCTGATTACTGGATTCTTCCTTTTTCAGAGAAATAAACAGGATCCTTTTAGAGACAGAAAATAAACAATATCATGACTGGGAATGTGGCTCAAGTGGTCTCTACCACTAGCTTTGAACAAAAGAAGCTCAGGGACAATGCCCAGGCTCTGAGGTCAAGCCCCAAAATTCACAAAAAATAAAGAAAGAAAATAAACAATATCAGTAAGTGAAATAAATAGTTGATTATCAGGTAAATCTGTGGAGAAAATGCATCAGGAAGTAGAGTTGAATAGGGAGAGAAGTATTAACAATTTGAATAGGGTAGGTAGAAAAAGTGACATTTGAGTTTGGATCAGACCAGGGAGAGTTTAATCAATTATACTGCAGAATTATCAGCACCAACTAAGTAGTTGTTGTTTTGGTGTCTGTATTAAGGTTTGAACCAGGACTCCTGGTTCTCTCCCTTAGCATTTTTTTGGGGGGTCCGGTCATGGGGCCTGAACTCTGGGCCTGGGCACTGTCCCTCAGTTCTTCAGCTCAAGGCTAGCACTCTACCGCTTGAGCCACAGTGCCACTTCCAGCTTTTTTCTTTTTGCTTATGTGGTGGTGAGGAATCGAACCCAGGGCCTCTACCACTGAGTCACCTTCCCAGCCCTCCCTTAGCATTTTCACTCAGGACTGGTGCTCTACCATTTCGGTCACATTTTCACCTCTGGCTTTTAGCTGGTTAACTGGAGATAAGAGTCTCTGATTTGTCTGCCCAGCTAGCTGTGAACCTTGATTCTCAGATCTCTATGCTGGATTAAAAGCTCCAGTTAAGACAAGGTTTCAGTTATCTCTATTTCATTTATCCTAGACATCCCTTTTAGTATTGATAATATGCACAGTGGTTATGACACACATGCCCTACTAATAATATTTCTCCTGATTTAAATCTAAAGGCAAGCTTGGAGCCAGCGGCTCATGCTTGTAATCCTAGCTACACAGGAGGTGAGATCAAAGCCAGTCCAAGCAGGAAAGTCCAGGAGACTCTTATCTCCAGTAAAGCACCAGAAAACCGGAAGTGGTGCTATGGCTCAAGTGGTAAGGTGCTAGCCTTGAGCTGAAGAGCTGAGGGACAGCACCCAGGCCCAGAGTTCAAGCCCCACAACTGACATACATACATACATAAAAATTTAAAGGCATAAGCTTCTTGAATATGTAATCTTTATATAAACATTTCCAGGAAGAGAATTTTCCTTGGGAAACATCCAGCCAGTGGAACTTAGGTGATACTGATACCCCCTGAAGTTCAGGAGTACCCAGTGACCCATAGGAAACTACTAAGAACCCTTGGCACTGAGATCCATGTCCTCTCTGGCAGAGGATGCTCCCCTACCAGGTTGCTAAGGTGACAGAGTATAGGTCTGAATGATTTATGGAGCCATTTTTGCCACCCTTGGGGAAAGGAGAAGGAGAGTTAACCTAAAGATGAAGCCAATGGAGTATAGATACAACTGTGCTAACTGGAAAGAAATTGGAATTAAAAAAAAAAAAGATTAGCACCTCTGGTGCTATTTCTGGGGGCCTTGGATTTAGTCTCACCATAAGACCTCACTTCGATTTTCACATAGCTGGAAGATACATTTCCTTTCTATTTCCATCATTCCAAGTCAGGCTCTGTCGTCTGCAACCAAGAGCCTTGGCAAATACAGAGAACCCTTCAGTAGCTAATCTCTACTTTTTTCTGAGAAAGCAAGCAGCTGAGCTCAGTGGCTCAAGCCTGTAACCCCAGGTAATTAGGAGTGGAAATTGAGGGATTTCAAGGGCCAATCCAGGCAAAAAAGACTCCATCTCATTAAATATCTGGGTCCAGTGGTGCAGGGCATTTCCCCCACAAGTGGGGAGTGGGAGACAGGAGGTTGGTTCTGGTACAAAGCAAGACCCTACCTCAAAAATAACCAAGATAAAAAGGAGCTTAAGTAATAGAGTGCCTATCTACAAGTGCAAGGTGCTGTGTAAAAAAGGAAAAAAAAAAGTTAACAGTGCATACTCACCCGTTCCTGACCAGCAGTGTCCCAGATGAGGAATTTATGAAGTTCGTTTCCACAAGGCACAGTTTTGGTCATGAAAGATGCCCTGAAAAGAGAGTAAACACTTCCATATTACTAAGTACAAAGATTCATGGGTCAAATAAGTTAGCATTATACCTCAACAGGACTCCAAGAATTCTGCCCATAGACAACTAATAACAGGCAAAGATGAGTTGTTAAGAGTGCTTTCACCCAAAGAAAATATTCTGCATTTTCTGTTACTCTAACTGAACATTTCAAAGCAAACCAGGCACTGGTAGCTCATGCTGGTGATCTTTAACAACTCAGGAGGCTGAGATCTGAGAATGAGAGTGTGAAGCCAGGTGGGGCAGCAAAGTCCATATGACCCATCTTTAATTAACCACCAAAAAGCTGAAA